GGAAGACCTGGTGAGATGAACATCAAAAAGTCTCATATATACAGTACATCTGTTGTACTGAGTATATCTGTTATACTCACAGGCCAATCTTTTTATAAAGATTGAAAACAATTTCATACGTTGAAATTGGTTGTTACCTTCCCATTTCTCTTAATCTGAATAGATTAAATAAATGGATTTGCAAAGATCTACTTACAATTTCATGATTTGACGCTTACACGGAAAATTTCATTAATTTTTTGTATGATGGAATGATTCTCATTTCATCATAAGGGGGAGTATTTGTAATAATGAATGAAATATTCATTTCCGAACATTTTAAAGGGAATTTGATGCAAAGATCAAGGGGGAGTAACTTCAGTGTTGGCAAAAGACTCAAAAGAAGGGCGACTGAAGATAATCGCAGAAAGATTATTTGTGTGCTACAACGACTGAGAGATATTGAATGTGAAGATCATTTTCACAACAGTTTACTGAAGACTTGTTATCTGAAGATCCTTTGAAGATCACATCTTGTATAGTGTTTCTGAATATTGTTTTTGATCTACATTGTTAAAAGAGAAGATCACCGTGATTCTACATTCGAGGGGGAGAATGCTAGAAGATTTATCTCAACAGTTGATTGCTTGAAGATTATAAGTTGAAGATTTCATTTGAAGAAGACATATTGTGCATATTGTTTCAAAGTTCAAACAAGGACTCAAAGCGCAAAATTTTCTTTCAATTCTGAATACAAAGGGGGAGAATGTTAGGACTGAAAAATCAGTATTAATTGTATTCGTTTTCAAAGTTAAATATAGTCTATAATTGTAAAAGTCAGCGTGTTTGACTTTCTTATAGAAGTTTGACTTTGACTTGGCTTTATATGTTGACCATATAAATAGGTAGTATTCTTTGTAATTGGTAGAAGAGAGCTTATTGTAATTTTCATACGTAATAAGAGAGGTTGTCTAAGCTTTGAAGATATTGACTTTCTCTCTCTAAGTGTTCTTCATGTTCTTAAAAGCTATATCAAGATTCTGCCATGTTTGTGAAGATTATGAAGATTGATCAGTAATATAAGGACCATCAATAGCCTTTAAATCGCACAAAGATGCTATTTAAATCGATCAAGATGTTGTTTAACTTGATCAAGATGTTGTTTAACTTGATCAGGATGTTGTTTAAAATCGCTCAAGATGCTGTCTAACTAAATTGCTCAAGCTTTGATCCTTAACCGCTCAAGCTTGCTTCTAATCCGGTCAATATAATGTCTAAATTGCTCACAAGTACGATCAAAGCAAGATGTTAAACCGCTCACTATATGATGCTCAATCCGGTCAACATCGCTCAAGGGTTGCTGTAAGCAAGATAAATCGCACAAACTACAGCCTATTATCCAGTCACAAATGAAGCTAATCTGGTCACCTCTATTAACTGGTCACTAAATGAAGCTAAACCAGTCAATACAAGGCTGTTAAATCGGTCAACTCTATTATCCAGTCAAAACACAACTGTTCTTAAACAGCCAGAAGCAACTTATTCGCTCACTTCAATTTCTATATTGGACCATCTCTGCACAACAGTTCTTATCCGCTGGTCACAGCTACTAAAAACTGTTTTAACTTCGTCAAGACAGCTGTTTTTATTCGGTCAAAACTTGGTTGTAAACCGCACAAAGCTTCTATCTGCTGGTCACTTATTTGCTCAATACAAGTTTGCTTATCCGGTCACAAGTCCGTTTAATACAAGCAGTTAATTCGCTGGTCTCTTATCTTGGTCAAATCATTATGTAAATCGCTCAACATGCAAATTTCAAATGCTAACTTGTGAGAATGAAGGATGTCCTAACAATATTCAAGCAGAAAAACAATCAATCTAAGATCAAACCAACTAACAAAAATTTAGACAAAAAATGGATCAAAATCTAATTTTTGATTAGTTTTTGAAAGAACACGAAGAACACCAAAAAAACACAAAACTTTTCAAATCTCTAAAAACGATGATCAAAACACAAAATCACAAGAAAATCAAT